TGTTGTGCAAGTGTTGGTGATCATATATTCTTATTGGCGGCACTGACGGGGAAAGCAGAAAGTGTGACGTGTACTGTTACTGGTGCAACAGACAGGAATGGGAGCGGGTGAAGGTAGGTAGGCACTGTGCTCTTTGAGAAAGGAAATTGTAGTCAACTTTATTGGAATTTTTAGAATCATCTTGATCAGTGTGGGAATATATGTTTGTTTTCCTTAACCGAGCTCGTGGCTTTCCTCAGTATATTATGAAAATCCCCACACGGTTTTGGGTAGAAGTGTACAACGATCATTTCCAAAGTCTCTTCATTGTCATCAACACATGTAGTTGACCACGTGCATATATTTTCGTCACTCGCCGTTAACCTATCTCGGAGTTCGATCGAAGTCTTGACAGGTTCAGCGATGTCACGATGGACAAGTCAGCGAGCCCCCAGCCCGATCAGGTGCCCGCTCGGCTGTATTTGAAGGAATTGTCTACATATTCGGTGGTTACACCAAAAAGGATGGCGACTACTTCAACGACACCTGGGCATTCAACCCGCTCTACCACACGTGGACCATGCTCGCTGCTGCTGGTGATGTTCCAGCGCGGAGGACCGACCATTCGATGGTCCTCTACGACGGTTGTGTCTACACATTTGGCGGTTTCGATGGCAGGAATCGTTTCAACGATGTTAGTATGATGACGCTACCCGCCCATGGAGCGTTCCGTGGAGGCTCACCTGTGGCGAGATGGGAACTGATAGATGGTCCCGCAACAAGGGTGGCGACTGGGCAGGAGTGTCCTACTCCGAGATTTGGGCATTCTGCTGTGGTTCACGGCTCGTGTATGTACGTATTCGGCGGCTGGGATGGTCACGACACGCTCAATGAGCTGTGGGAATTCAACTTCCCATCTGGGAAATGGTAGTAACGTGGATTCGGCAAGGGTTGGCGCTGCTGGTTTTGATCACACAGTGCTGAGTGCCAATTTGATATGTGTGTTTTCTATTCTGGGATTAATGATAGTGAACAACTTGTCGCTATCATAGTCTCGAAAGGTTACTTTTATCACATCACATGTCATA